TTAGCCACTATTGCACACGCTATAATTTCCCCTTTCCCACGGCATTTCTACCAATTATTCGGTTCCCATAGGAACGCTCATCCAGATACCAGACAGACCAAACCTTGCTTTGGTTTTTAGATTTGACATAATGCTTCATCGTAAAGTCCAACAAAATGGCTGTTTGGAGGCCTAAATAATGTTGAATTGAAAAAAGAACTGAACATCTGCTATCTACTGGCTGACATAAATGTAAAGTTCATTGGAAAACAAATTCCCATTTCCTATTTAATCAAGTGGGGTGTGCGATAGACTAACCTCCATGTGGTACACTCTGGGCAACGTATATTCATACGGCAAAAAAGTCTATTAACTGGCAGTTGACTTCTGGCTTCAAACTACCATCACCCCACTGTATGTCGTATTCGACTATTTCAACAGTACTCACCTCAACTTTTTTCCACCTTTGTGTCTGTCTATTTTACATCTTTGAAACACTCCTCTATCCCCCCCCCTCTCGAATTTTTTTCACCTTGATGTTCCTTCCCCTCTGAGAAGCCTGAAGCCAATTAAAGGGTGAATGATAACTATCAAAACGCCTGCTATTTGGTATAAATAAATAAACTTAATCAAGTTATTGGTCCAATGCTACTTAATAACTGGGGTAAAAACCACAAGCCGGTTAGATGAAAAAGCACTCAAATGACCTCTGAGGAATAGCTTAAGAAACACGTGCTTCGCATTCACACACCTCTGCCAACCTTCCATTCTGACTAATGCTTCACATATTTCACTTAAATAAGTGCGATTATGTCCTGAACGATAAAATTGATATAACTGCAGAAAATTAAATTTTCTAATCAAGGAGAGTCGCCGAAAACTGGTGACAGGAAATCCGACAAATATGAAAGCGGAGAGGAATTAAATGGATGTGAGAAATATTATTGAAATATCGGCGACTTATTTAATTTAATTTTTCTACACCTGGGTTGTAGAACATTGTAAAGTAGCTGTAAAGTTCATTTTGCTCTTTTCCAATTTCACGATTCGCCCTATGCACACCAGCAAATGCTCATCCACGTTTTTCAATCATTGTTTACCCAGTTTGTTGCTTCAATTCGTATGCTGTGTACATTAGAGTAAATCAAGAAATCATTTTCTTATCTATCTTCATTTACTTTCACTTCATTTCATAAAAAAAGTCATGATAAATTAAAACAGATTGTTTTAAACTGTTGGCAAGCCACCATTGGCTGAAATATTGATTTCGAATGATAGAAGCGTTATGTGCATACGAAAACGCACCCGATTCATTGAGGCCTGGAACAGAATGAAAAGAACCACAAATTGACTTAAATTTTCCCAAAAATATGTAACCATGGAAGGAGTAATCAGGTTTAACGAATGGTTTTGCGAGTTAGGAAAATTCGATCTCTCCTGACAGACTAAACATTTCCAAAAAACCTACACGTAAGGAGGTAGAAAGCATTTAAACAGCGGCCGAAAATGTGAAAATAGTTTTAACGTTTATATCCCATGCTTTCATTATCGTAACCCTGCAAAGCTTCCAATTTAGACATTTTTAGAGTTAAACAAAACTTTTTTTAACAAGACGGCAATAAATTAATAAAAACGTTAGTCCTTATTAAGCATTCGAAGACCATGATAGTGAAGTAGGCTAATAATTTATTAAAATAAAATATAGTTTTAAAATGGAGCAATATTTGGCTTTTGGCTTCAATTGATAAGTGTTCAATAAAATTTTACGATGATAATTGTGAATTGGAGCGTACCTTCATTCATCCTTAAATTCGCCCTTAAAAGAAAACAAAAAAATAGAAATGAATTAAAATTTAACAATCCATTTAACACAATTTTAATTATATTCATCAATAGAGTAAAAGTTTCATTGAATCCAATTTATTAAAAATGGTTATCTACGAAACTACTCTGAATTCAATCACTGCAAAATAGAATTGCTCACTCCAATGATACTAAGGCACTAAGATCCTGTTGATAACCAGGAACCAATGACAATTTTTTTGAATAGCATGTTTTATCTCATAACTTAATGGTTTGTTGAAGGCTATATATTTCCCGGTTCAAATCTTGTTCTAAAAACTATCTTTAGATCAAGCAGTTACGTATAAGGCAGTTTCCTGAACCTCAGTCGGCCACCACATATTTATCAGTGCATGACTTAGGGTTGAACACCAAACAATGATAACCATTACAAATTGTTTTAGACAGTTTGATATACTATTTTCGATTAAAGGGGTAAAAGTCAAATGATTTATATTCACTATAGTTGTAGAAATTGACATGCCTCTCCTTGGAATAGCAGAGCTGGGAGCTGCAGCCATTGACGAAGATACCGCTTCAATGGGAAGTCTCTTGAACATCTTTAAAATGCAAATACTTGTCTATCTTTTAAATTAATCTATCGGCGTACCTCACTTTGTGGGTCCTCAATAGAAGGAGATATGCGAGTTCTCCTACTTGATCTGTGTACCATTGGGATTGACCAAAAGTGCAAGCAAGTGCTACCTATTTGTTATCCACATAGCTTATATGGGCGAGTGTAATTTGACATAATGGTTCTACGTAGATGGTGCTGTTTACCATTTGTATGGTCTGTTTAATTATGAATGATAGGTAATTAAGAGGGATTAAAACTTAAACTCCATCCCATTTAGTGAGTTTCACTGAAGCTGTCTAAGCGTCAATAAAATTTTACTCATTCCAAAAATACTTTCTTTATATCGCTCCGTTCATACCTGGTAGGTAAGTAGTAAATTTTATTGATTGGGTTTGAAATCAATGCTAACTTAGAGTAATCAATATTTTCGTGTTATCCACTTCAAAGGTAATGTTGGGCTTTCATGATTCGACTATTTTTTTCATTCACTTGCCAAAGTAAATTGGGGGGAAGTCTCCACCATTCCACCTGTTTCCATGGAAAAGAAGTACTGGCCACTGGGTTGCGAAATGGAAGGCTCAGGAATTGCCTCATGTTGTTGGTGGTGCGCTTGATGATGTAGAAAACTAGGATCCGTAAATACCTCCGGATATTGCTCAGCACTTGAGGTTGGATATCCTACTATGCCACCTGGAGGCACCTGTATCCATGGCAGTGGTGGATCCAGTTGTCCAAGCGCCAGACGACGGTTTACCTGATCAATCACAGCTAGGTCTTCGTCTTCATCCATCGATCGAATTTGGAGTTTCGATGGAAAAGGGGGCATGAACATGGGAAGGATAGTGGAAGATGCTCTTTGTACGTGATCAAAGGGGTCGTACTCAATTGGTGGCTCGTCAGTTTCCGAATAATGCAAATCGGTAGGAGAGTCCGACATTGCTTCTGGACTAGGAGGACTGTTGGATAAAGTCATTCCTGGTGGGGTTACCGTCAAATTAGGGCTGTAAGGAGATTATAATAGTCATACTTTGCTATTAAGTTATTTCCAAGTAGTTTATGGGTTTGTTGGTTTGTCTTACTGCAAATAAAACTTTAACTGCTTAAGCATTTGACAAATAAATGTGAGTTGCAAAGACAATGAAAATGTAGCAGAACCTACTAAAACACTTGCAAATAATTATATTCATTTTAGACAGCTATTTACATTAGCCCGTGAACAAAATTTTATCATTTGTGTTCGCGTTTTTTGGTCCTAATGAAGTCAATATCAATCAAGTAGCATATTTTTAAGTAGCTGGATCCTTGCGAAAAACCATAAATTCATTCGTACTTTCATTCATACACAGCAGCGGTAAGAGATTGCGAATATTCCAAAATTTCTTGGACATAGCAAAACCCTAGGCATATCCGTGAAGAAGAGAAATATTAATATCAAGGGGATACTTACGGAGTCGAGTGGGCTTGAGCTGAAGGATCACATGTGTCTGAAATTCGGGGAACCACATTAGAAAGAGCCGCAACAGCCCTCTTTGAGATTACGCTGACCTTGGGCAACCAATCGGAGTAGAGCTATGAGATAAACGGCATTGAATTATTGTCCAGATAATCAAGTTCGTCGATATATATATAAAAAAGACCATTAATTTTTTGACAAACCAGGCAAATTTAAGTAGAAGAGAAGAAATGCATGAAGCTATTCCCTAATAAATTAAAACTTAATTGTAATGCTTAGTCTAAATGTCAATTTTGTACCAAAAAACACCATTCCAATTTTACATGCTTTTTCTCATGATGAAGCGTTATAACCACAGTAACAGCAATAACTCATGGAGATTCCCAGCGGAAAATTAAATCAATCTCATAAAAATCAACGTCATTCGACAGAACGAAAATTCTGATCAATATTCTTCATTTATTAGTAATTGAGGAACGAAACTTCAGACGATTATCATTTCCAATCAGGGCTGCACGATAGACTTACCTCTACGTGGTGCTCCCTGGGCAATGTATACTCTTACGACAAAATATTCTATAATCCAGCACTTGACTTCAAACTACCATGGTCCACAGTACCACAGTACCAAACTTATCTTACCTGTTTCTCTACCATTGTGCCTGTCTATTTTACATCTATGAATCAATCTTCTCTTACCCTCTTCACTTTTCGTGACTCTGATGTTCCTCCTCCCCTCTGTGAAGCCCGAAGACAACTAAATGGCTAGTGATAATCTTCATGAAGCCTACCATTTGATATGAATTAAATAATTCATTTCCTATCCTATTACTATTTTGGGTTATTTAACTGCTGCCCAACGAAAATCCACATATGGGAATGAGGCCTGAAGAAGAACATCATTTCAGAGACACGAACTTCGATGGAGCAACAAGACATCCTTCCCACGATTTCTGCTCAGAAGATACCCCCTTTGCTATGAGACACTTTGAGTGCATGTGTGTGTGTGTACAACGGTGAGAGCTATCACATCCGCATACATTTTAGTTAATAGCTCTTTTGCTGAGAAAACTTCATTTTTAATGCCTTTCTTTACTTGCGTATAAACCGTCCCTAAATTATTTTCCTAATAGTAATCAGCAATAATTGAATACTCGCCTTTTGTCGAGGGTTAACGAGAAAGTCGAGGTTAAACTTCCGTTCTACACTCGGAGATTGATGGTGACTACAAAAATTAGCATTTGAAGTTGACTGAGATTTCTGAAGTTCCGATTCATTTTCCTCGCCTAAAGCCGTTGTGTCCATGGGCGTTTCCATTGAATGGGCTAGTTCACTAGTAGATGGAACCTCGGTACTTGAATAAAAAAAAATAACTTCTATTAAAAGTAACATTTGGCATGAACGTCTGTAAGTTCTTCTCGCTACCTTGACCAATAGTTTATGACATTAATACGCGGTTAAAAATCAATTGGGAAATTTCCATAATTTTAGTAAGTGAAGAGATTTTTGTGTGAACTTTTAAGTGAAAGGCAGTGAGGAAAAAGGCGTCCCCATGTCCGAAATTTGGTGTCAGCTGCAAATAATTTTGACCCCGATGTGGAATACGTAGGTTGAATTGTTTTGAATATTGAGAGTAAATTAAAAAATGAATTTCCATCATTCAGATTGCCTGATTGATCAAGAAGAATATGCAGTTCATTTGCACTTGAAATCCATTTATCGTATGCAATCAATGTCTATTGAATAAATGATCCAATACAAGTATTTTTGGCGAAAGATTGCTTAAAAGCTTAGTTACTACAATGAATCTAAAGTAGGAAATAGAATATACCATTTAACCAATTTGTTGGCTTTGATAAACAAAATTCGAGCAAGGCATGGATTACAAAACAAGGAAAAGAAAGAGAAGTAATTATTTATTAGTCAGAGTGAAAACAACAGCATTAACGGTTTTATGAAATATCATTAGCACTTTCCTACACTGATTCGTCTGAGATACTACCAGTATTGACCTAACGACCATAAAACCACTGGCAAGTCTCCATTGTACAACAATCTCAAAGTTTATGCCAAAAATCAATTTGATATTTTAGGTAGTGATGAAATAGTTGAAAATTAAAGAAATCACGGTCGATCCAGGCCACCAATAATATTAGTACGGGAAGTGTCTTGACGGTACGTATACCGCAGAATACTAATAGCAAGCTTATATAAATAGAATTCAGTATTTGTTCCTAACTTACAATTCCGCCTCCCCCCCCCCTCCTCCCC